AGAGACAAAGAGAGATGTTTAATATACTTTTTTAAATAATATTTCATAATAATTTATTTTTGAGTACCCTAGAAGTTTAAATTTTTAACAATTTACTAAACATTTTCTTATTTTTTAAATGTCTGGACCAGCTCACGTCCCAACTGGTGTTAAGTGATTTCCAGAGCCCACAGACATCAACAACGTAAATGCCGCTATCCCCCTTGAGACATGAGTTCTAAGTCTGAGTTATATAGCACAACGGCTGCCCCACCCTTCAAACCTTCAAACGTTGATGTATGTAAAGCCTGTCTTTGCTTGTGTTCGAGAATCTATGCATTAGTGCTACTTTTATCCGATTAAGTCGGAACTTACTCGATGCCTCGGAACAGTGTGGTTAGTGCGAGTTTTTTAACGTCCTCGATAGCGTAAAAGTTAACAAAAATTTGTATGCAGTTGGAACAGCGCCCCTGGCGGCAAACGTAGGCAAACTTTCCAACTCCATACAAATTGAGTTAACTTTTACGCTATCGTGAAAGTTAAAAAACTCGCACTAAACACACAGATTACTTATAATAGTACTTAGTGAGATTCAATAGTATCATAGTAAGATTAATTATTAATCAGCGCTCTACAGCCGATACACGAGCAATTTGAACAAAGCGTATCGCGTTTTTACCAATTCAAAGTATCATCTTATGGAACGAAAAACATTTATTTATCAAACAATCTGTCTCGGCAACTGGAACTGTGAATCTTGTATATTTTTTTTATTTTTATTGCTTAGATGGTTGGACGAGCTCACAGCCCACCTGGTGGAGCCCATAGACATCCACAACGTAAATGCGCCACCCACCTTGAGATATAAGTTCTAAGGTCTCACGTATAGTTACAACGGCTGCCCCACCCTTCAAACCGAAACGCATTACTGCTTCACGGTAGATATAGGCAGGGTGGTGGTACCCACCCGCGCGGACTCACAAGAGGTCCTACCACCAGTAAAAAATTTGATCCTAACAAATTAATTATACATTCTTTTCGAGAGATGAACAAGTGATATCAAATCTTTTTGGGGGAAACCTCTAGAATGATGTCGTATACATTTTTTAAACTAAGAACAGACAGAGCAGTTTTAATTGCGGCGATAGAAATACCCTCCTTATCAGTGCAACAAGTCTTAGTGTAGGTTTAAGACAAATTGAAATACTTCCCGGTGTAAATTTATTATTAATGATTTTAAAACAAATTAACAACGTCCGCAAAAAAATATATTTAAATGTTCACCTGTAAATTTTTTCTTAAATATTGTTACGCGCTGCGGTTCGGAAAAATCTACCGGAGTACAACTTAAAACTGTATTCAACGCTTAGAACACTTAAAACACTGAACAAATACTTCAAAGCTCTCAATTCGCTTCTTCCACTTCGCTTCAGGTGATCCGTTCGCTATTTCGCTTCGAGTAGTTTCGATTGCTAACTGACTGCGTGCCATCTCTGCAACGGTTTTATAGCCGATACCACATCCCTAGAATTATCGAGAATATTCCACACATTTCTAGTATTGTGTTTCCGCTATCTGACAATAGATGGCGTTGTATTTCTCGAGCGTTCTAGGTACTACTAGATCCTTCGATATTCGTTCGACTATACGGCGATAGATGGCATTACTCTTACCGGCGTGACATTATGTATCACACAAAAAAAGACGAATATTAGCTCGAAGTCTTGCCTTTTGTTTTACTTTGGGTTTTATTCATTTCATTTCTATAATAAGAAACCGATGACACTAATCGTTCGGGTTTATGAAAAGTGTAAATCTATTCAAAAATAATAAGTGTGAGGCGAAGCCATGAGCATAGTGTGAATTATACTAAGACTCGCGAAGACCGATGAAAAATCGTGTGATTTTCACGCTTAAGCGAAAAAATAACAACAGCTTCATTATGGTAATAAAGTCAGACAAACGAGCCAATCTGTTGTGCCACAATCGCGTTTTACACCTCTGGCCGCATTTTGTTTTACGATTTTCCAATAATCGTAAAAACTTCTGAACGATTCCAAATTACGTAACTTAAGTTTCAAGTAATGGGACATTATGAATATTTCAAGGTAATTTTCGTTCTTATGATGCGGTTAAATTTTCATAGTATGTGGGTCGTCCTCACGTGATATGTAAGCACATGATATACGTTAAAAATTTATTTGCGTTTTACAAAGCAGATTAGTTTAAGTTGAACAATTTAGTTTAATATACGGAGAGTAGAGGTAAGGAGCACCGTCTTGTATAGAGGGCCAAGTTGAAAAAGTGTCCATCTGTAGACAGCAAGCTATTATTGCGTGACTCACCGAAATAGCGCTAGTGTAGGATGTGGAAATGGTATGAATATAGCAGTTTTAACCAGAGCAAAGTGTTCGTCAGGAACGTCGATCTCCATGACGACCTGGACTTAGAGTCCATCAATAAGTATCTGCAGTCGGCGTCGATGCGCCACTTCGACAAAGCGGCACGACACGAGAACCCTCTCATCGTGGCCGCCGGTAACTACATTCCCGATCCTGCGGAAATAATGGAAAGCAGTCGACGTCGCCCCAAACACGTCATTTCGGATCCTCCCGATCTACTAACGGTGCTTTTAGGTACCTCAAGCACCGGTCACCGTTCTCGTCGAACCCGTCGCTTGCGACGAATGGCTCGACAAGTAAATTAACACTCAGACAGAGCCCACTGAGTTTCTCGCCGGATCTTCTCAGTGGGTCTGTTTCCGATCCGGTGGTAGATTCTGCGAAGCACGGCTCTTACTAAGGTTCGTGTTAGCAACTTCGACAGGTTTGACCCCTTGATAATATGGCACCACCTTAATTGGCTCCTTTTCAGCAACTCTTTTTAATACACTGATATGGTGCTCCTTACTTCTACCCTCCATACCTTAATATTAAAAAAAAAAACATTTCTTTAAAGACAATGTACTGAAACGCAAAAATTACTACATAACTTTTTCTTTTTATCTAATTTTAATCTTGGCTGTATGTGCTACGTCCCATTTGCCTATTGAAGAGGACCATCCCACCAAAGAGATTCCCCAGTCTAAAAATCTATATATATAAAAATGAATTACTGTTCGTTAGTCTCGCTAAAACTCGAGAACGGCTCGACCAATTTGGCTAATTTTGGTCTTGAATTATTCGTGGAAGTCCAGAGAAGGTTTAAAAGGTGAATAAATATGAAAATGTTCGGAATTATTTATAAAAACAAACAATTTGGTTTTTCCTTTGATGTGTCCTCTGTCGGGCGGATTCCTTTTGTTTTTTTTAAGTTTATTTTATACAAAAGTTTAGGTCTTTTATTTATCGATTGAGGCACTACAAAGTCTGCCGGGTCAGCTAGTAACCAATGAAGAAGGTTTCTTCTACTTTTTTATTGCCTTGAAGTCAGTTATATATAGATTTAAAAAAACCATGAGGTTTATCAATAAATGAAATTGTGATTTCCCTGCTCGTATCCCTCTACATTGGAGTATGATGGCAACTCGAAACTCCAAGATGAAGTCACTCATGTCGCCTCGGGCTGACTCGACTCTGGCTAAAATAAGCTTCCGAATGAAGTTTGATCGCGATATTGGAGAAAAGAAGAAGAAATTGTGATTTTTTTTATAAAAGGAACTACCATTTTATTTTCTATTAAATCACAAAAGTGGTTTACCCTAAAGCCCTTCGAACAAAACAAAGAGAAGGAAATCGTTTTGTTCTAAACAAGCTTTCTTCTTTAGAAGAGTTTTTTTTTAATACTTTCAAAATATATTTAAATTTACAGATGTGTATTTGCTTTTAATCAACGCAGAAATGAAACATAACAGACTAGATCAAATGACATTAAGGTTTAACGAACGAAACACTTGTAAATGAATTTAACTTAGAGCAAGCAACTCATTAAAAATAACCGCGAATGTAAATTTTATTAGACAGATTAGAGATGAAAGCCGACCCGTTGTGGAGTTTATTTATTCATAGGTATGAATGTTGGCATTAATTAAAACAATGCTCATTTCGTTCGAAATACGTTTCAAAATTAAATTTAGGACTTTCATCTACATATACTAATATTATAAAGCTGAAGAGTTTGTTTGTTTGAAGGCGCTAATCTCAGGAACTACTGGTCCGATTTATTCGAAAAATTATTTCAGTGTTAGATAACCCATTTATTGAGGAAGGCTATACGCTATATAACATCACGGTAGGGCACAATACAAGTGGAGCACCAATAAATAATATTTCAAAATAGAGGTTTAAATAGCTCCTTAACATTCTATTGTTCAAAAATATTTTCACTTTCTACGTAAGTGAAGAGACGGGTAAAATTTAGCGTTATGCAAAAGTAACTATTCCACGCGTACGAAGTCGCGGGCAAAAGCTAGTTTCTAGATAACAAACAATAGTAAATTTCAAATTGTTCTAGATTAAGTTTTAACCGCGTGTCAACTCAAAGTGAGTGTCTATATTCAAGTTCTACTGCATGGGTTAAAGTAACTAATTAATACAAGATTATAAGCTTATCTATATATTAATACGTGGCAAAAACTTTGTACCCCTCTTTCCGAAAATTGTGCGGACGGAGGAGTATAAAATTTCCCATACTTATAGAGAATATAGAGAAGGAGTGCAGAATGTTAATTTTTTTTTTTTTATTTTGCTTAAAAAATACTTTCAGTCAATAAAAAACATTACACACACTACCATGTATTTGACACACACACGCATGTATACTATTTGTTTATGAGTCTGTGGTCAAATTGAGAATAGATTAAATCATTTTTGTCTTTATTAATATTTGTCTAAAGTCTAAAGTATTCTTGTAGTATTGGTGAAATCTGTGATTATAGAAGAACAGTCTTTAACAATAGAATCATAATAGTATACAAACTTACAATTACTATTCATTATAGTTGAATTTCGACTGTGTACCGGGGGACCATTAGTCTACTCAAATACGTCATAAAATATTGTAACAATCAAAGGTTCACTCACCCCAACATGACAAGTCTGAAGCAGTTCTTTGGTGGAGGCGCGCTTTCCTCGCAGGCTTGGGGCAGAGGTACACTCGGCCCCGGAGACCGCTCAGGTTCCGACTCCTCCACTCCAGCCCCGCGTCGGCACAACCACGACGCCCCACACTTATCACGAGCATCTTCAGACGGCGCGGCAAACTGACATTTCCTCGGCGACCTCTGCCGTCCGCTCGACAACGACGACTTCAACGGCGACGGCGGAGCCCTGACCGGACTCGGGGAAGCTCTGACGGGCGACGTAGACTTCACAGGCGAAGACTGCAGCGCCAAACTGCCACGCTCAGCCCCGTTCGACATTTCCTTTATCTCAATACGAAACTGTTCATCGTTTATCTAAGCTGTTCGTTTTCCCTTTTTTGTCATATCTCAGGGCCCGGTGTGAATGATTAATGGTGTAGGCGAAATAAAGGTTTTGCTCCGGAATAAATGTTTGCCTATTTTATTGGGATTAAGTGAAATCAAATAGTAATCTGTGTCATATAAAGATATATATCATTTAATAGCTCACTATCAGGGATATAACAATTTTAAGGGATTTTATGACCTGGTAACTAAGACCTTTAAGTCATGTCTTATTTTAATTAAAATTCTTATTTTCATGAAAAATTATAATATGGAGTGAAATGAAATGAAATGAATATGATTAATTTGAGACATTAATCAACTGTGATAAAATAAAATGAGATGATATGGGATGAAACACAATCTCAGTAAAATGGAGATTTTTTAAATGGACTTTTTGGAGGATCCCGAGAAGTTACATCCAGCGGCTTTGTTTCATTTTCCCACATTTTTGCACTTTCACAGATATTAAACAGTTAATAAACCACCGTTATTACACATTTAAACCTGAAGAAACACTAAATAGACAAAATCTAACAAATCACACAACTACACTCCTCATACTCGCGCCAAAAAGTCCATAATATTAATTAATACAGATGCAGACATTTTTTTTCCACGGGTGAAAATCGCCGGATCCCCACCTGCCGCCTGGCAGGTGGGGTATGTGGGAGTTGAACTTCACTAAAAACTCCTGCCACTCACAACCGGCGCCCTGCCCCGGACCGAGCCGGAGCCCAGTCGGGGCTATTGAGATGGCGGGACAGGTTTCACGCAGAGCACATTACATCCATCCCGCCGTCCCACAGACGCAGATGCAGACATAGATAAAAGTGTATTAATTTCAATGTAGAAAGATTATTTATTTCACAGAAATAAATAAGTATAGGCGCGAACAGAATTGCTTATGCATTCCACCAGCTAACCCTGGTAAGGATTCGATATGTGTACGTATGTCGGAATCAACTATGTACCTGCGACTAGGTACCTATCATTGCTTCAAAAAAAAACGGCTATATTGTAAGCCCGCGGCTAGGACCTCCGACCGGACTATTTCTGGAACATTTTGATCCAATTTCTAAATTGGGACAGCTGGCATATAAAACAATTGAAACCTAAACGCGAACAATACAAAACGGAAGCGAACTTATTGTTGCCTGGTAGGTTAGCTGTGGGCTGTGCTCGCCAGCTATAGCCAACATTTGTACTAAAAATGTTAGGATCATTTCAAAATAGGCCACACAAAATATACGATGCAAAACGTAGAGAGAATCTATTTCTCTGCGGGGACCTAAAGAATCCGAACGATCCCTGAGAAAAAACTAATCGTTTCAAATTACTTCAGTCTGTATTCTGTAAACGTCACATTGACCAGTTTTATATATAACTAGCGACCCGCCCTCGCTTCGCTTCGGAAACATTAAAACACACATGAAACCAAAAAAAAAAAAATTAAAAAAAAAAAAAAAAAGTAGCCTATGTTCATCAGGGACAATGTCGGCTTCTAATGGAAAAAGAATTTTTCAAATTGGTCCAGTAGTTTCGGAGCCTATTCGAAACAAACAAACAAACAAATCTTTCCTCTTTATAATATTAGTATAGAGTATAGATATAGATATAGACTAGCCGTATGTACTCGCCCGCTTTGCTGGGCATTTAAAATTAACATTATTACTTATTGTCATTATTATTAGGGAGTCCAACACGCATATAACTATTTAAGTATCCCTAGTAGCCTATCCATTAAGTAAATGTATTTTCTACATGGATACCTAGTTTCAAGACAATCGAATGCATAGTTCAGTAGTTATAACGGAACATCCGTAAAAACCACTGTAGATTTATATAGTAGTATAAGATTTAAATCAAACGTATAGGTCATTAAAACCACAAATTCACAGATGTCATATTATTGAAATGAACAAATATTAAATTCACTTCGGATTTGCGGGTCGTAGACATAATTAAGAATACTTTTATGATTTTATTTCCATTGTTATTATTATATTTATTACGTCAGACGTTACGAATACTTCACACGTCTCGTGGTCACGGACGACTCCTTATCATCGAGGGGTGCAAAGCTATTTAGCTTAAGCGAATTTTTTACAAATTTACAGGAGAGCCATTCAAAGTTTAAAATTTTGAAAAAAAGACACTACAAAAAAAAGTTTTTCAACTACTTGAATGGAGTAATACGTACTTAACAAATGTTCACGATTGACTTCCACAGTGAAGGAATAACATCGTGTAATAAAAATCAAACCCGCAAAATTATAATTTGCGTAATTACCGGTGGTAGGACCTCTTGGGAGTCCGCACGGGTAAGTACCACTGACCGCTTATTTCTGCCGTATAGCAGTACCTAATGCGTTTCGGCTTGAAGGGTGGGGCAGCCGTTGTGACTATACTGAGACCTTAGAACTTATATCTCAAGGTGTGTGGCGCATTTACGTTGTAGATGTCCATGGGCTCCTGTAACCACTTAACACCAGGTGGGCTCGTCCACCCAGCCAAGCAATAAAAAAAAAAGTAAACTTAACTGAAATTCAATTAGAAACATCGAACTGTTGATGCTAATACCAAATAAAATGCACCTTTAATTACAAAAATTGGTACCCGCCTGAGATTATTAAACCTTAAATATAGTTTTCATTTGACAAACTCCTTGAAATTTACCGAATCAAAGTACATACGTAATCTCTTCACAACACGCCAAACACTCCGTACACGTATCTAATATTCAGCTCGCGTTGTATTTTTGTGTTAAAAATCTTCCAGATCTCCGCGATGGAGATAGCTGAATAGAAAAAATCTATCGATAAGAACATAAGTTAGGGAGGTCCCCTGGCGTTATTTTCTGTCTAGCACTGTAAAGAGTAGATAAGAGGTGATATAAAAAAAAACGACAAGTCTTCATAGAAAAATCGAAGATACTTACTTTCGTGAACGCCCAACTTGATGGGCCAAAGGAAAATCGCATATTGTGTCGAAGTTAGTAAGGATTTGTTTACGAGAACTAACAAACGATGCTAACATGTATTCACACCTATATTTTTTTTATTGCTTAGATAGGTGGACGAGCTCACAGCCCACCTGGTGTTAAGTGCTTACTGGAACCCATAGACATCTGCAACGTAAATGCGCCACACACCTTGAGATATAAGTTCTAAGGTCTCAGTATAGTTACGACGGCAACCTCACTATTCAAACCGAAATGCATTACTGCTTCACGGCAGAAATAGGCGGGGTGGTGGTACCTACCCGTGCGGACTCACAAGAGGTCCTACCACCACTCAATTTGATTCATAAAACTGTTGGAATGATTGTGATAGTTTTTTTCTTATAGGAAACTATTTTCCATAAAGCTGTGTATCATCTCGACCTAAATAAATGATTGTGTCGCTATTACGATTATCGTAAGAGAGCCGCCAATTGGGCGATCCATCTCAAATGATAAGTCGCAAATCGTAAACTTTGCAACATAAACGGGAGATTAAACAATTAGAATTTTGTAATCACATCAATGAAGTGATAATTTCTAGTATCTTCTCTTAATTCGAGTACATGGTAATATCAGAATATATTGGGATTACTTCACTGGTGTTAGGATATCCTGTGAGCCCGCATGTTACCACCATCTTAACTACCACCATCCTATCTCCTTGATTAATTCGTTTCGGTTTGAAGGATGGGGCAGCCGTTGTACAATTTTTATTTTTATATTATAGAAAACTGATACTTAAAATCCATGCCTCAAGGTGGGTGGCAGCATTTACCTTGTTGATGTCTATGGGCTCCAAAAACCACTTAACGTCACGAGGGACATGAGTTCGTTCAACTGTTCAAACAATAAAAAAATGTGTTTAAATTGGATAAAACTTTACAGGGTGGGAAATTTTGAAATAATATCCTTTTGAAGGAAGCTATCCACTGTTCTTATGACCATAATTTATTCCGGAACAATGTGGTAACTGTTCTCGTGTGAATAGACCACGAGGCGTTCGCAGATTTATGAAGGTCCAAAAACCAAGAATAGAACTCATTTTAAAGGACCGATTCCCCACTTGAACGTATTTATGGGGCTTCTAAGTGGATGCAAAACGAATTATGGGTTTGACATACTGCTGCGTTGTTGAATTTGCGATAAAATATATCTATTCTCGAATACCATAATATCTCGACTTAATGTCGATTTCATTAGTATATGTTAGTACCAGGGTTGTTACGGATGCAATAATTTAGACATCCGCGGATGCAGATGCGGATGCGGATTATTAGAAGTTCACATCCGCGGATGCGGATTGGATGCGGATGCAGATGTAATGCCGATGCGGATGCAGATGTAATGCCGATGCGGATGCGGATTTCGCGATTTTAAAAGGATAATAATTTAAAAAAATGTATCCTTTTAAAATCCCAAAATCCATGAATAAATAACTGAAAATCAATTTAATTTTAACTTTTTATTTATTTAATCATATTTTTTGAACAAAATTATACAAGTTTTTGGTTTTACTTATGACACAACAGAATTTTAAGCTTCGAGTTTCATAATAATAAATCTTTGTTTAATAATTAACCTTAAAGATTGGTGAATTTTTAAATAGCAATATTGCAGCCTTCTCAGCCAACCTGTTTCTTAGTGGATTATATATTAACCCAGCCCTTTTTTCTTCAATTCCTTTTCCTTATTCGCACTTTGGAATAAATAAAACTCATCCGGGTGTATTTATTTCCGATGATTTTTTAAAGTAGTAGTGCATCCCTTGCACGAGTAACTTTTATTGCATAGCTTACACTCCGACTTCTCCGGATCATTTTTGTCTATTGTATATTATTATATAAGACTTATAGTCCAGATAGGTACTTCTTTTTATTGGTGGCGACTTTTCACTTAATATTTATATCAAATATTCATTAAACACGCAAAAAACTATGAAATACACAGTAAACACTGACTGTAACTATAATTTATTGACAATGAGAAAAAGCACAACCAAAAAAACCTGTAGGATCTTGTTACCAA